ACCATCTAGATCCCTTCGGGGTGGTCATGAAGGGGTGAAGATAAAGGAACCCTTGGATTCCATGCTTCACGTGCCGGGTACCTTCACTACAGGGATCTTACCAGGCTGATGTGAAATTGAGCCGACTGTTTTGCGGCCTACCGCTTTCATTGCTACATGAACAAGTGTTCTTGAGCGGCTACTGATGGCGACTGGTATTCGCATAGGCACACCACGGACGGCTTCAAAGGCAAAGGACTGCATGTCAACGAAGCCAAGCAAGATAGTCATTCGGAATGAGTTGCGTAACAAGCCACACGCGATGTTTGAAAGGTATAGTATGTCTTTCTCCGCCCGATGAGCGGCTTCCAACTGGATGAACTACGTCGAGCCGTCCAGGTGGCAGACATCTGCCTTCAAACAAGATTGCTCAACATTAGTGTAACCAATAATTGATTCGGTGTAGGTTGACACCAATTTCAAAAACAGGAAATACTGTCGAGCAGCTTTGCCTCAGCCAAGGCTGACCTTTTGACTTGTTGGTTCCTCGGTTGATAATTTGGTGCTGCCTGTGAACGGGCAAGGGGTTGTTTGAAGTATTTTCCCTGCCTTGCGGATGATTGACTAGTCGTTCCAAGGAGCTTCCGCAAGGGTGTTTCTTGAAAAAGCAGAGCCCCAAAACGATGTTTCCTTCTGTTTTATCTCACCACCGAAAGGGACCCTATGCACGGAAGCCCTATGCACGGAAGCCCGGCCCGAACCGCCTGGAGGGATCCTGGAACATGAGGTGTTCAGGCCTTGCTGGGGGACCCTCAGAGTGGCGTCAAGGCCGGGTTTGGTTGTGTCACCGCATTTGCCTCACCAAGCGGCCTGAATCTGAGAGTAGAATGAAACTGCCCATTTGAACTTGTCCCAAATGCTTGGTGGAACTGGTGCCGCTTTCGCTAGCTGTGAAGTCCAAGGGAGTCACATCAAGGAAAAAAGTCCTCTTGCTGCAAGCTCATGGCATGGCCATGTCCTCCAGACGTGCTGCTCAATTTTTCCGAAAAAGATTCCAAGCGGGTCAATTTCCTAAGGTCAAGCTGTCAAAAGCCTCCTGAGGCTTGTTGTAGCAGGCGAGTACGACACTTATTGTCACCAATCTATGAGTGAGTGAGTGAGGGAGGGAGGGAGGGCGGGCGGGCGTGCGGGCGGGCGTGCGCGTGCGCGTGCGCCGCGCGTGCGTGTGTGCGTGTGCGTTTGCGTGTGCGTGTGCGTGTGGGTGTGGGTGTGGGTGTGGGTGTGCATGTGCATGTGCGTGTGCGTGTGCGTTTGCGTGTGCGTGTGCGTGTGTGCGTGTGTGTGTGTGACCCCCGTGTTCCTAAGGGGGCTTCTTTTTCTGTCTTTCTGGGTTTTTTGTTCCTGCTTGGAGTCAGCCTGCACCGGCGCACCGGCCCCCTTTGTTAGTACCATGTGGTGGTGATGCAGGCTCTGACGAGTAGCCACCACATGGGAAAGCATCGGGAAGGTAAGCTAACGAAACTCCTTTTTCTACTTGCGGGTTTCCTTGTTTGCGGTTTTCCTTGTCTGTGGATGCCTTGCAATTGAACTGTCTCATATCAAGCGTGTGTGTGTGTGTGTGTGTGTATTTTATGGTGTTTGCGTTTCAGCGTTTTTGTGTTATAATGTTTTCTGTTTTGGTTTGGCAATGCCTTCCCACCCGGTGCACGGACCGCCATGTGGTGCGAAATGGGTGCAATACATGTCAAAGACCGATGAATCTCACATAGATGTTTGCTTGCAACTTCGCCTACGTGGTTTGGCGCAACGGTCAAGTTCACTAGCACCGAACAGGGGGTTTGCCTGGCTTCCAGGAAATGGTCGGATCTCTATTGGTTGGGATGAGTGGTCGGCCATGTTGACGGGGTCTTATTGTTGTAGGATTGAGGCCAGCAAACCCGCGGGAGCCGTGGGCTAGCTGAAGCGAGCAGTGATTTGGGCTCGAGGCTCAACACCCAGTTAGACTTGGCTGGTATCGATGGCGGAGTCATTGGCCTGGCGGATCAAGGTATCTTTGCAGTGGAGCGGATGGTTGCAATACATCCCAAATATGATGGTCGCGGTACTTGTTGGGCTGCTGCTACTCATCTTCCAGTACTTGCACCTCACCTGGACTGCGACAATCTTCAAGGCAGGGATGAGCCAATGTTCAACCTCCATGCTCTATGGTTGGAAACTCCTAGTTTTGTTTTTGCGCCTTTCTTGTAACAAGTCTTCCAGCCTTCCAGCCCAGGCTCTCTTCGTGCTGTTGTTGGCCATTCTTCTTTTCGACTTGGTCACCGTGAAGATGAACCTGCGGCCTACGGAAGGTATCCCTAGCCGGAGAGACCACCTGGATGTCTTCGATGTGATGCGCCAGCGCAGGTCAGGGTGCAAAATCGGCTTCAACGACCAGAGCCTGGTGCCCTTTGCGAATCCGAGAGGTTGTTTCGAACAGCAGTTGCTCAAATTTCCGGAAGTGGTTGTGGCCCATGGGTTGCGCAATGCTTCGTCTTTGGTTCCATTTACCAAGGTGCGAGTTTGGTGCATTTTGTTCGAGCCACCACATTTATCCTTTGAGGGTACCCGTTTTGGAGGGAAACCAAGGGGGCGGAAAAAACGCCAAGTCCTCGCAGGTCTTGCCGGTCCTTCCAGTGGCGGGACTTGCTGCCGGAACATCGCAAAGAGCTGCTGGACGTGGTGAAGACCAACCTGGAGCCCAAGCAAATGCTCGGCAGCAAGCAGATCCGTTGCCCGGCGATGTGTCAGGCCAAGTTCTCATGAGTCTCTTGGATGGGAGTGCTGTCACAAATCCCAGCATGTTGGAGGTCTTAGGGTTGGGCTTCTAGGATTTGGTTGCTCAGAGGGGTTTGTGATGTATCCTGCAAAAGAACACAACACGTAGCTTTTGGCAAGTCAACGAAGCATTCAGGTTTGGAGTACATCAAAGAGCCGCTCTCAGTTTGGCCGGTGGTGGGATGTCATGAGTTCCTGGTGGCAATTGCTCCGAAAGAGTACGACCGGACGGCCATCCTGGATGTAGGGAGCAGTTTGCAGAAGGCTTCCAGTTGAAGAATATGTCATTTTTCCTGTTGAACGTTTTAAAGGGAATCCATCACTGTTGGACCTAATTTCATGTTTTTTTGGGAGACTTAAGCACATGGAAGGTGGTCTTGCATGCCTTCAAGATGGGGCTGGCCACTTGCTGGATCGGGCCAGGGGCGGATCACAACAGCATCACCAAGAAGCTTGGGAAGATGTTCAATGAGGAGACGGACCACATCATCTGCGTGTGCGCCATTGGGTATCCTTCTTGGTACATCCCCACCTTCATCGCCATGCTTGTCAACCAGGTCTCCAAGAAACGGAAGCCACTGGACCAGCTCTTCTTCGCAGAGCCCAGCTTCAAGACGCCTCTGGACGTCCAGGCCCCGCCTTTCGCGCGCTACGGGCGTTGCTTCGAGGCCTGCCAGTGGGGACCGAGCTCCTTCAACGCCCAGCCCGTGCACATGGTGGGCCAGCCCGGAGGGAAGCGCTTCGACTTCTATGGCGCCAACAGCTCCCGGTACTACACGCCCGTGGCGGTGGGCATTTGGCTGGCCAATTGGGAGACCGGCTGTGAAGCGCTGAAGATCAAAGGTCGGTTCAGCAAGCTCTCCAAGGATGAGCTGGACATCAAATCTTTGAACCACGATGGGCCAGTCTACGACATCAGCTGGGTGAGTGAGAATACACCATAGGTTGCGCAATCATTGCTGCAGCGTGTTATTTGTGTGTGTGTGTGTCCTCGGTCTCATACAGCATCGTAGTGATGTATTCATGCTGTCCAAGAATGTCTATAGATAGTGGAAGCACACAAGCGTGCACTTTGCCAAAGTCCCGGAATGGAAGGAGCGCTGTGCAGCCCAACCCTGAGCTGGCGCGACTTTCACAGGGACGGAGCCAAATTGTTCCTCGAGAGCTGGGACCCCTGCAAAATGGTCGTGGTCAAGCCCTCCAATTGTTTCGACTCTTCTCTAGTTTCTGTCCGTTTGGGGCAGGATCTTTGGAGAACTGGGTATATTAGCAAGGACCCAGTGTTGCAAGTAGCCTCCCACTCTTTGCACAGTTCCATTGGAGTTTGCAGCACTTGCTCGCTTCTCAAGAGTATCGCTCTCAGACGTCAAACTCGACCACCAGCCGAAAGGGCGTTGCCCTTAACTCTGAAAACAACTGAGGGACTCCAGTCGGCTGAAATGACAGCTGTTGTTTTTCACCTATTCAGAAGACCCTCTTGAACATTCCTTGGAAAGCCTGCAAGACCTTAAAGCGTTGTCGTATTTTCTCATTTTGACTGGGCAACGGGTGGATTATCACAGGGCCGCCGGCCCTGGGTTTCTTTTCCCTCGCGGTGCGGCCTTCCGATAGGCGGCGGACCTTGCCATCGACATGTTCCGGGAGGATGGTGACAGGAGTTGCGGGGGGAGCTGGGCATCCATGGGATGTTTCCGCCGTGCTTGGTTTTAGGTTGACCCCCGGGGTCCTTCCAAAATGAAGGATGTCAAGTGGGACACCCGCGATCAACCAGGGGTTGATGCATCCTGGATTTCGAGCATCCCCCAGACAAGCATGGGACCTGACCGAGGGTCTTTTGAAAAGGATCCTGCCCGGGCAACCCTGTCCCCTCTAGTTTTAGGTTCGTGGGACACTGGGATATGATATTGCAATGATATGTAATCATTGAGATCAGTTCAAAATCACCAGGTCAGCTCTTACACTCTTGTCTTTTGGACTCAGCAACCAGTTGAAGAGGTGTGAATTTCATGCTGCCTTCGAAGCGAACCTTGAACAATGCGGCAAGGTTGGAGTTCAGCACGTGTAGACGCATGTTGGTGCGCGGGTGTGGGTGTGGGTGGGTCTTTGCCAGCGTAGAGAAAACAACAACAGGATTCAGCTACTCAATGTAGCTCGGCCGGAATTTGCGCTCAAAGCAGCGAAATCTGCAGGCACACACACACACACATACACGAACGCACGCACGCACGCGCTCACGTGCGCACTTACGCACGTAGGTTGCACTTACGCACGCACGCGTGAGTTCAACGCACACACACACACACACCATGTAAATCAATCGAGCTCTGGAATCTAGCCGGCACCTTGGAAACTTTTGGCACGATTAGCAGCCTTTTCTGAGCTTTGAGTGCGCATGAGTTGGCAAACCGATATGGATGAAGCGGAAAGGAGCGAATCCGCGAGCAGAATATCATACAACACTTAATATCCTGCGTGGCATTGCCCATAGTGTACGCGCGTGTTTTGTTAGACTGGCCCCTTTGGACAGGGATCGGATTTGGTTGCCCAAGCGATAATGCACCTGGGTTGGAGGTAGCCCCAAAATCCATAGGAAACATGTATGTGCAGGTGTGTTTTTTTCCATTTATCCTCTCCGCATTACCGGGGATACGTTGGGACTTTCCTGGCCGGATTTGTCGGTCCAAACTCAGAGTTCATGGCGTGGCTGCTGGGTGGAACCTGAATTCATTTCCATGGTCAAGACACCCCTGTCACCTGGGGTAATCGATGGCCCTGGATGCCTTAGTTGTCCTCTCAATGACAATGCCTGGCATAGGGAGTTTGACCACGGCGCAGCTGAAACGGAGCCTGCGCTCTGACCCCTTGATGGGTGAAGGCGTGTCCTTCCGCAGGAGGGGCGAGTGCCGAGTTTGGGAAGGCCTGTCTGAGTCGGGACACCCAGATCGCCCAACCGGGGTGAGTTTGCCAGTGGCGTTTGAGGGATCCTCCTGGGAAAAACGACGGGTTTTGCTTTTGGCTATCCTTGTATTACCAATCCGAAAAGGGTACCCAAAGAACAACACCCTTTTGGTTTGTTGGCTTACAGGCACAGCTGCATATTGCTGTGAGCTGGGCGTCGGTCACTCACCGAGCTCTCTACAACAAACGCTCCAATCTGAGCATTGGGTTGAGGTTTTCAAGCAGAAACGACACCTTGGGCTCTTTCAGTTTCTTGCGCGCGCTAGCCTAGCTTTGCCTTGCTGCCTGCAATGGCTGACCATGACTGGCCAATGGCTTTTCAGCCCAGCAGCTGTATGGCGCGACTCCTTCACTCAAGTGTTCTCCAAGGTAGCCTGAGATGTGATATCAATCAGGGTGTGCACCAGCGATGGCTTTGAGTCACGGAGGCGCTTCATTTGACTTCACAGGCTTTGATGGTCGTCTTGCACGCCACGCTTGTGGTCATCTTTGGGCAGACTAGGCGATGGCCCCTCCTAAACCATCCGATTCGCTTTGTTTGCATAGGTATAGCTGATTGCTTTGGTTGGGCCAGCTGCAAGGACAGTGCAGCGCAGTTGGATGCCTACATGAGTCTTCCTACAAGGCAACCGTCTTTTCAAGGACATGTTGCGCGCTGTTTAAAGGGTGTAAGTCCTCTTCTCAATCAGCTCTTGCATGCAAAGAAGCGGATTTTGTTTGACCACTCTAGTGATCAAATGTGCCCTGAGAAGCTGGTTTGTTTTTCCGGGCTTGTTGAACATGGGCTAAAGATGTGAGACTGTGGGGTTCCTCCATGCTCAGCTAAAAGAGTGGAGCCCTGATGCCATCCAAATGAACATGAGTCTTATCTTCTATCTGGGGTTATAGCCAACTTGGTGGAGCCTTTTTGATGCATACCTATATGGGTTTGCATTTTTTCGAGGTACCCCTTTTCGGTTTGGTTTAAGGGGAAACCAAAGGACGCCCAGCGTTTTGGGGATTCCCGAAAAAGTAAAAAGACGCACCCATATTCCGACGCACGTCCTAAGGATCCACATGACCGCCAGCGACTTCTCCTCGGCGATCCGGGCTGCAAAGCGTGCGGAGGCGAACGGAGACACATGCTTGTTTTCGGGAGCAGATTGTTTTTGTTTTTGTTTTCTTTTTTCTCTTTGGTTTCTACATGCAATGCAGTTGTGCTTTTCCTCAGGGTGGTACGGAAGGTAGATTCTTGACCATATGAACCAGGCTTCATGAGAGTGTACCAACTTGCATAATGCGGCTCCCCATATCAGAGCCGTTTCCTGCTGACAAATATCTTCTTCATTTTCAGGCTGGATGCTGGGAGCAAGCCCACAACGCTGAAAGTGCGGTTGGCGGTTTTTCATCACGCCGCCCTAAGGGCAACATCAGATTGATTTTACTTGATGGTCATTCGTAGGCATTGATCCAGACTCGTTTGTGAGTCCCTCCCCCTGTGAGCCCCCTGCAAAGAGCTGCCGAAGCCTTTGGCAGGCTACTGCTCAAAGGCCTCATGATGGTTGCATCTTGAAAGCCGGTGTTTTCTTGTTCTCTCATGACTGAGCTAGACTGATAATGCTTTTTGCTACGATCATGCCCGGTTTCCTTCGTGCTCACGTCCCATTGACCACCGCTGTGGCTGCACAAAACAGACGCCTGTGGTTCCCGAAACTTCCCTTTGCCACGCAGCGTGCTTGCCCCGTTGAACTGCCTGCCTGCGGCCAGAGCCTTTGCGAAGAAGTCGGAGACACTCGTCTCATGGCAAGGATGAAGTCGGAGGCTTAGCTGTAGGTTTCAGGGGGCAGTTGCTTGCCTTGTTCCCCCGAATTGCCCCCTTTGGGGGTAGACCATTTGAGTGGTTTATTTGAATTCCCATCCATTGTTCGCAGGTGTAGGAACAACCATTGCCAGAGTCTTGGATACCAGTTCTGGAGAGCAACCTCCCGTTTAGCCATACGATTTAGGGGAATCACCGGCTTCATGTTCGTGGTCCCATCAGGAAGCGCTGGTCAAGGGAGTCCTCTCGGCAGTCTGAAAATGCTAGCGGCACGGAATGTTTTTGGACTGCCGTTCTTCCGTGAAGTCTTCAACCGCAGTGAGGAGGCCTGCTGGGGAATGGATGGTGCGACAATCCAGTCACGCAGATAGTGCGTTGGGCGCGCGTGACCAAGGGAGTTGGAGACACAGGCGACCAAGATCATGGGCGGGTAAGAGCCACCGCGAGTTCATTGCCAGAAATGTGCGACCCAACTGCGCCTTCGTGATCAGTCTTGCCATGCTTTCTCGCCTTCCCGTTGCGTTGCCAGTGTGAAAACAATAGCCAGCGTACGCAGTGATTCACCTTTTTGCTTGCTTTTCTTGGCCGAAGATGCGTTCACAACACAAGCAACAGCACATCCTGCGTGGCCCAGCTTGCTTGAAACCAGTCAGTCAACTCGATCGCTTGCTAAATGCTGGATTTGTCGCCTCGCCGATGCTTGTCCACTTCAGAGTGCCAACTTGTGAGAATCCACCCACGGGTTTGTACGAACGAAGTTGTTGTAGGTTTGAAAAATACAACTTCGACCAGGCGACCCTTCGAGGATCGAATGTGAGAGGGATGAATAGGCAGGCCAGGGTATCCCCATCTATTTCAGGTTGGCTATATCACTCCCGTGTGGACTTTGAACGATGTGTTAGAAGACGATCGCCAGCACAGCTGTGCAGATGCTGACATGTTCATCTCACCGCCTTCTGACACTAGCTACCCGTGCCATGTTTTCGATCCAGTGCAAATGACCTGTGGATAAAGCCTCATCTCAGTTTGCCTATCCCGGCTGCCTGGCGGGCTATCGTTCCTGGTGCCTTTTGTATCAAGGACGATCAGGTGGGCTTGAACTTTGTTTCGAATCCGAGGCACACCACCTCCATGGTGCACATGTCTGCTGATGAGCACCAAGAGGCGCGCTGAGTTGCAGGTCTGGGATGAGGATGGCCCGCAACTCCGTTGATCGTTTTGACATCCCCTGTTGATCGTATGGATGGTCATGGCCATTCCTGCATAGTTGCTGCACAGGAAGACGGTGCCCCGCGGGTGAAACGGATTCCACGTTTGGAGGAGTACATGGTGTCAGGGATGTGTTTGTTTATTTCTGGGCACAAAAGGGACAAAATTGCGAGAGATATAGAAAGGTCATCAGCATAAGAAGCTTCAGTGACCAGTGTCGCATTCTACACATTTGATCCGATCGAATTGGCCAGCGGGTGTTGCGAGGCAGATCCACAATATTGCAACTTTGGTAGCGGAGCCACTGTGCTCTAGCAGGCTAGCGACCTAGCGCCATTTCGGCCGCAACCTGCCGATCTTCGGCAAGGACCTCCTTCATCGAGAAGGAAGGCAACGCGATTGAGGTGACCCACGGCAAGATGACCACGAAGGTGCTCACGCACCTGTGCTGCCTTTGGGCAGCGGCGGCGGTCTGGCTCGGAGGCCTCTCCGGTGACCAGACGAGGAGCCTGCAGGGCGGTCCCGGGCACGCGCCACGTGCGGCTCCGGCTATGGCTCAGCCGAGCTCAGGCAGCGGCATCCCCTTACAAGAGTTCCGCAAGGAAGTTTCCCCAGGATGGGGACCAGGCCTGGGCAAGTGCCCCCTCAAGCTCTACTTCGCAAAGCTGAAGCTCTGGTACCGGATCTGCGACTGTCCCGACGAGGTCGTCGGGCCAATGATGGCAGGCCGGTTGGTCGGGCGAGCACAACGCGTAGCCCTGGAGCTGAAGCTTCCCAGACCCGATGCAACATCGATTCGGGCGACGCTGCATTGGTCCGGCTCAGTGTGGACCAGGTGGTCCACCCCATGGATGGCGTCACCATCCTTCAGCGCGCCATCCCGTGCAGGCCCTTTGCAAGGCGTTGAGGGACGCCTTTGGTGAGTCAGAGGAGATCCAGACGACCCGCTGCTTGGAGAGTTTCTTTATGCAGGCAAATTTGGAGATGAACAATGTCGCAAAGACGTACCTGTGGTTGAAGCAGTCAATGCTCCCACAACGGCATCAAGATGATCTCCGACTACGAGTCCATGTGTCTTCTACAAGAACGATGAGGGCCACGCGGATGAGCTTTCCGAGGTCTACACATGGAACGATAGTTCATGGAGCGACAGCACATGGGTTGACTACCCAGGCGAGACCGATATGTCCTACGAGAACTACACGATGACTGGGACTACTACAAGGACACCGTCGGCGAGACGAATGATGAACATCATGGAGAAGACTATGGCGATGAAGACCTGGAGGAGGACAGTGTATGGCAGCAAATGGCACATGGCTGCTGATTGCCCAGTGTCCAGACAGGACAAGGGATCAAAAGGAGCCCTATGGCAAGTTCCGAAAGGGCAAGAAAGGCAAAGGCTAAGGTTTTGGAAAACGGCGACCCTCCAGAAAAGGAGGATATGGAAAAAACCGCCCTGGCAAACAACGTCCTTGGCAGCCTCGCTATTTCGGCGGATACGCGGATGAGAGAAAGGAGAATCGGATGAGGCGCGCCAAAGAAGGACTTGCCGCCGCATCCTCAACCACCAAGCAGGTAACTTTCTCCAACACTGAGTACTACGACATGGGCAAGGGCCCGGTGAATGAGCAGGACAAGAGCGCAGATCTGCTGTCGTTCAAGAAGGTCGACTGGAAGGCCACATCTACATCTTCAGATAGCACAGAGCCAAGGCCGTCGAAGAACCTGACCTTCTACTTCCGCAAGGGTGAAGCAGCGCAACCTCCAAATCCCGCTGGTACACACCACTACGGCGACAACGGCAATCACATCTATCACACCGTCGGGATGGCCCAGTCAGTTCGGAAACACTGAGGGACCTGCTGGCACACTGTGATCGCCGTGATGAGGTAATTAAGGGCGTCAAATGGACCGACAAGGTGTCCAATGTCACCGGCATCAGTGGGTCAGCGTGGTGGTGCCTACTTCTGTGGATATCCTGAGGAAGATTAGAAGACACGCATCCGGGTTGACATGACGGAGATCTTCTTGGACATGTGCTATCAACGATGTGGCTATGATCCACGCATCGACTCATTGCTGGTTGACTGGACTCTGGAAGACTACCACGTTGACACCAATCCGGCTCTCCTATATGAATTCATTCAATCACCGTGAATGGCGAGTGGAACTGCAGAATGGAAGCATATATCGCATCGATGGCACCACTGACGCCATCTCGGAAGAAGCAGCGCATGAGATATGGGATCAAGTTGAGAAGGCAGATGCCAAGGAAATCCATCAGTTTGTTGATGAGCACGCATTTCGAGCAGCGAAGGCAGCGCGGTGATCGACGGCATCTGGATCCGCAAGTGGAAAAGGTTGTCATTTACACAACGGATTTGCAAATCCCGTGTGTGCGCCAGAGGATGCTACGATCCTGACAAGGGCAAGACCGCAACACGCAGCTCTACTGCTACAAAGCTGTCCCAGCACATGATGCGAGGATCAGTCATGTGCAAGAAGGAGGAACAATCTGGAGTCATTGGGCATTGCAGGCACCTTTCTCAAGGGGCTGACCTACAAGGAGCTGTGGAAGATCTTCAAGAGGCTTGGAATGAACCTGAAGGAACGTGTCATTGCAATTGTGCCACTGGCCAATGTCTGACGACATTTGGCAAACATGTCGAACGCCTTCAAGATGCCGGTCCACATGCTAAACGCCTATGCGCTGGTACCTGAAGCCAGTCTATGGCATTGCTGAAGCATTGCCGAAGCACCATTGGCATTTCAACTCTATGTGCAGAAATACCTGCATGAGTTGAACGGAAAGGTGAGTTCATTACACGACTGCTACTACTTCTAGCCCGGAAAGAAGAAGGACAAGAACATGAGAGCGATCACATGGCCTGAAGCGGGCCTCAGCACGACCTGACAGTTCACGACAACCAGAAATGGCTGGACAGCACGTATGGCCTCATAAGAAGTTCGGCAAGCTCACCCGAGAGAAGATGCCATTCGATCACTGTGGTTGTTGTTACAGCATGGAGAACGGCATTGTCAAGGTTGACCAGATCAGCTACGTCAAGATGCTGAAGCCAGTGAGAGTGTGACCAAGGACATGAAAGATGGATGAGACATTCTTGGACCCGAAGGGAATCAGTACCTTGAGGTCAGTGGTTGGAGGTTGATGTGGGCCACAGTTACACGACCAGACATCATGGCCGAATTGTCACATTTACAGAGTGTGCAAAGCAAAGGACAAGTCAAGCGCCTTCGCCAAGCCAATGCACTTGTGAACCGCGCCAAGCAGGTCAGCGGCGATCTACTACCACTGAACATGCAGACCTGTCATGTGAAATGTGAAGATCGCATGACGCGACACCAATCCGGAGCAGCTCATCTACTGCATATAAGAAGCCACAAGGCAAAGCGCATCTCATATAGCACCAGTCATGGGGAAACCTTGACAGCCATCAGCGCTCTAAAGCGCGCCACACTTATCAGCACGCGCTTGACCGAGATCAGCTATGGCGACCGCAAGACGAACTCTGCAGCAGCTGCTTTGTGTTCAGGAACAGGGAAGTCGGACCTTCCCAGTGGATGTGCGCACAGACTGTCGAGATTTCTTCAAGCTCTCAGCACCGGCATTCGCACGCATCAGGACAAGAGCCAAGAGACTCTACGTGCTGGCGCATCGCGAGGCACGAGCACATGGGCGAATTCGATGGATGATCCTCACACCCGCGGAGTGCATGACAGCGGATGCGCTCACCAAGACTATGCGATGCGACTGCTTGTTGCATTGGCTGAGCACAGGAAAGATCAAGTCTTGGAACACTGGCCAGAAGCGGTTGCCAGACATCAATATCGAGGAGGTCGAGGAAGAGGACCTTCGGCAAGGCGACAAAGCGCTTGAGAAAAAGGTGAAGACCGCTGCATGGCGAGCATGACACGGTGGCTAGCGCAGAGAGCACCGATTTGGTTCCGCTGTATGATGGCATCATTCTGAAGTTCAGCTTTCACGCGAACAACATGGGCGCGTTTAGCTATCTGTTGGTACTCTTGTTCATCAATGTGATGACCACTGGCATCGGCATCGTGGTGGACAGGAAATTCTGCCGGAAGAAGAGGGAAGACACAACAACGTGGACAACAAATGTGCGCGGGACACCGTCAACTGAAGGGACAGTGTACATAACACCGCATGGCACATGCTATCACAAGCAGAAGCGCAAGCGCGTCAAGAATAGGAAACATGTACAGGCGTATCCGCCCTGCAAAGATTGCTCAACATCCAGAGCATGAAGCGGAGTCAAATTGTATCACATCACACCGACCGCGGTGCAAGTGGACAACCAGACCAATGACAGGCCTGGCAAGTGGGAGTTCGACCCGCTGAAGTGGCTGGTCCTAACAGTCACTGATGCCCAAAGTTCAGCTTCGCCACCTACAGGCACCACGACTACCAGGAGAGCAGAGAAAGACGACGCCATGTCGCATTACCCGTTTGAAGAGACATTCGCTGCGCTGGGCACAGAAGTTTTGGACTGTGGGAACTGGCTTCCTTTCACCTATGGCCCTTTCGGGGGCACCTATGGCTGGCTTAGGGGTCCGTCCGGGTTCATGGAGTGTCCAGGGTGTGCAGGCTGTTTCAACCTATGGCTTTGGCTCCAAACTCTTTTTGGGTACCCTAAACAGGACACACACACACACACGCACGGAGACGGGGTGAGCTTTAGTTGGGGACCCTTAGGTGGACATCACGTAGGTGGGGATTCACATCAATCATTTGTGAGGTCAAGTTCAGTTCCCCATACTTTCCCCAACCCTGTTCATGTATTCGGCCGAAGGCCCTGGCAGCCATCACGGAAGCCATCAAGCTCTCACGCGCGGACGATGACATGCGAGGGCCTGGCGCCCGTTTCGGTCGATCCGGCTTGGCAGCGGTTGAAGCAGTGCTTTTCTCAAGGTTGACCGAGCCTAGCCTCATAAGCCTCTTAACGCCGATTTGTAGAAGAGCCTCCTTTCGGGGACCACCTCCTTTTTGGGGTTCCATGCAGCATTTGACAAGCCTTAAAGGTTCTTGAACCCCTGGTCAAAGCTGGCAACATGCCGGGCACGCATTCAAGATGCCAGACCGATGAAGAGCCATATCCCTGGGAACAGCAAGCAGAAATTGGAGATGGAGCCGAAGACGGACCGAGCAGATCTCAGCTGCGTGCTTTGCAGTCCGCACGTGCTGATCCTGTTCAAGGGAGCTACAGTGCGAAGAGATGGAACCACAGAAGATCACGAGGACAATGCGTTACACTCCTTGGGATTTGACTGAGAACTTTGGCGACATCGTCACTGCGTGTCGCTTGAGGCTACGTTGGTACCCCTCAATGATTGGGCAGACTTTCAAACTTGTGACCGGAGCTTCCTCTTGCTTGCAACTTGAGGATCCGGTGGTAAATCGTGCTTTTCGTTTCATGCGTTGCACTTGCAGCCGTGCTGGAGCATTTGGGACTTGAATGGACCCCCTATTGTCTTTGTTCCCAGTCAGCATTGAGCGGGATGATGGTGTGTTTGATGCTAAAGGTGGCACGAAGGTCTTGGGCACATCATGTTCTTAGCTATGCTTTCATTGGTCTTGGCATTTTTTAGATTAGGTTCCTGCTCAAACAGCCAAGTAAGGATCAACTTTGGACGGCTGGTCATGCCTCATAGAGCTGATGCGCCACACCAAGCAGGTGTTGTTTGGTTGCCCAGCTTACAACAAGGCACGACACCGTGCCCAATGTGTACCTAACCATGTCACCCGTACGTCGCTTTGCCTGGACGCTTTGTGGAGAGGTGCTCCTATGGGGATCTGATGAACAACTCACCCACCCAGCGGACCAGCCTTGGGACACTTTGGTTTCCCAGATTTGACACACGGATTTGTCATATATCCCTCCAAGGGAAGACCTATTTGGTCGCTCTTCTATTTCTGGATCCTTTGGGTAACTGACTTCACGGACCAAATCAAACTGCTGGCAACCGGGAGGGATGCTAACAGGATCCTCTTTGAAGAACAAGCTGCAAACTGATTTGACTAAACCTGACTTGTTGGCGTTTCGAAATCGGTGAACTCTTCGCGGAGCGCCAAAGAAAGGAACCCCAGGCTCGCAACGCCGGAGGACCGTGAAGTACATTTTCCTGGCGATGGACATTTGGGTGACGTCACTTACTGCCTTGGATCCGGAGGACTTGTCCAAAGCCTGCCGGACGCCAGC